TTTTGCTTGGGGTTCGTTGAGTTGTTGAATCGTATAGGGTTGAGTTCTATCATTTGTCGGGATTACGGCCCTCGAGTTTTGGCGAGAAAGTATTGGCCAGGTGGTTTCTGTCAAATATCGTTTCGTGGTAGCGCTCCTTCAGGATGTTTAGGAGGGGCTTACCAACAGTTGTGTAGAGTGCTTTTTAGCCCCTGTCTGGGTGAGGTGTGTGGAGTCAGTTACTAAGTATCTGTTACCCAAAGACTCAGAAAAACTTTTTACTTTGGTTACAAAACAACTCTCTAAAAATGGGGCTCTTTCCCCACTTAACATCAAGAGTTACACACTTCTTTGGCTTCCTGGATTCAGGCTGTTTCAGGGAGATCTGTTCGGCGCCAGAGCACACGCCCAAGCACCCGTTCCAGTCGGACCGTTTAGAGAGCAGCATTCTTTTTTCTGGTTCCTCGGCCGATGGCACTCCGCGGGGGCGCCTCCTCTCCTCCCTGGTCCCGCGATGGATTCGCCGGTTGGCGGTCTTCTTTTCCCTGGTCCCGCGATGGCTCCGCGCGCCCCCCTGCGCGGCGCCTTCCTTATTTCCCCTGGGTCCGCGATGGGGCTCCGCCGGGCCGGCGCTCGCCTCTCTCCCGTGGTTTTCACGATGGGCTTCGCGGCCGGTTCGTCTCGTTCCCTGGTGCGGCATGGCTCGGCGGCGGGCGCTCTTCTTTGGCTGCCACGGGGCTTGGTCAGGTGGGGTCATTCACGGAGCTTTGGATAGCAGGGCCGAAGAGGTCCCAGGGGAGGCTTTCGACTTGTTTGGAACTTTTGTGCGTGCTCTCCTGTGGCTTGGCCATCGTATGGCTCACCCATGGGCTTCCTCAACAGCTTGGTGGGCTTCAGGAGTAGAGGGGGATCTTTTCATTGGGCTGGATCCTTGGCTTTTCTTTCAAGGGACTGGATGCGTTGATGATTCAGGACATCCACTTCATTTGCTTTCTCTTGGCCGAAGGCTGAGCCCCCAAGGTCAGGGGGAGCGCGCACCGCCTGCTCAGGGGGGGCCAACCCGGGTCAAGCTGGGGGACACGAGCGCCACCGTCAGGGGGGGCCAATCGGGTTCAGCTGGGAGGCGAAACCCGACTCAGTGGGGAAGCCAGCGGGTCAGCTGCGGAGTGGCGAACCCCACTGGCGGCGGGGCCAAGGGTCGCTGGGGAGGCGAACCATCGGGGGGCCAAGGGTCAGGCTGGGGAAGGCGAAACCCTTGCTCGGCGGCGGGGGCGCGGCAGCGAGCACCAGAAGTGGGCCTGAGGGCTTTTCTGCATCTTTAACACGCGAGCGGTTTGGGTTCAGGTCCCAGCCCGGTTTCTGTCAACAATTTCGTCCAGGCTTTGACCACTCACTGTCGTTTTCCTCCATCTGGCGGATTGCCGTGGATGGAAGGCCGGGGGCGGGGGTTGCATTGTCCACAACAGGCATCCACACTGTTGCGCCTGCGCGGTGGCCGCCCGCTTCCCAGGTGAAGTTTTCGCAGCCCAGTGGGTCAGGGCGGACCACTTTTGGACGGCAAGCAGTTCCAAGAGGGGGCCCCGCTTCCGCCACAGGCGCCTTGTGATGGCTTGTTCCTGGCAACACATGGGACCGTGCCTTCATCCGCAAAGACCCCTGTGCACCTGATAAGAGCATACCAGACTTCTCCTCTCGCCTTCCCCACGCAACGCGTAGCAGCTCCCAGCGTGCGAGGGACGGGTCAAGTATGACGGTTCAAGGTCCCCACCCTCAAAGCCGCAGACGGAGAGCTGGGGGACTCGCGGCGCTTGTGGGCCTAGCGCCTGGGTGGAGATGCTTGTTCCCAGCACTCGGCGTTGCCAAGAGCTCTCTGGCCGCCTCGCTGCGTGGGTCTCGCCACAGACCCCAAAAACACAGCCCACTGGAGCAGCCAGGGGCGGCCCCCGCGCCTACGAACGGGGAGAGTGGCGAGCCCCCACGGTGCGTTCTGGCTCTTCTCTGGCTCTTGTTCATCTGTGGGCACTGGGGGGTGTGGGTCCAACAGGGACAACACTCGTTTTCTCCCCCCAAGATCTGGTGCACTTCTATGTCCACCGTAAACAGGTATCAATTTCCCCCTACAGCTCTTCCCTTCATGTTTTTCTTATTTAAAATTTGTTTTTAGGGAGAAGTTGCGGAACTGTTTCCTAAGGTCTGGGCCAGCAGCCCTGCCGCGCATGCCCCTTGACCTGCCCATTTCCCTGGCGCGCGCTGAGCTGTCCCGCCCGCGATGGACGCTCCTTAGCCTTGGCGCTGGCATTGGTGAACCCCTGCCACCACCGCCACCTCGAGCCCACAGGTCCGAGTTTGCCGGGTCATGATGTTTTTCTTTCCCGAGCCTCCGGGTGCGGTGGTAAACAGAAATAATCTGTTGGCCCGTGTAATGCAAGGAGTTGCTGCAGGCAGGAGGCATTCAGGAGGCCTTCCCAGGCAGGTGGCCTCTCAAGGGGGTGGTACCTGCGCCCTGTTTGCGCTGGGCGGCACGCCCCCGCCTCTCGGTGTGCACTCGGCGTGGCCGCCTCCTGCACACTTCCCACACGGCCGCCCGCCCCGGACGATGTTGCTTGCGTCTTCGGTGTGACGGTGGCGCCTGCCTGGCCGACATATCCACACACCCCCGCCCCCGGCACGAGTGCTGGCTCTCGGCGGTTGTGCACTGTAGGCCGCCTTCCTGCACATCATCCCACACCCCCGCCCCGGAGCGAGTGCTGCTCTCGGGTGTGCACGTGGCCGCCTCCTGCACATCCCACACCCCCGCCCCGGAGCGAGTGCCCAGCACGGCCCCCACGTGCGCTTTCTGGCACCCGAGGGCCCCGACCTCCACGCAGCCCCTCTGGACCCCGGGAGTCCCAGGACCAGGGTGCGGACTCTGAAGCGTCTGGGGGCTGCCTCCGTCTCTGCAGGGCTTGTGATTGTTGTCCCCAGTAGGGCTTCTGTGGCTGTGCCGGACCCCATGGCTCCCGCGGGTTGTGCTAGCAAGGCCTTCAGCCCTGAGCAGCATGCGGGCAGGCCCCTCTGCAAAGCCAGGCAGAGCGTGCAGCATCATCCATCACGGGCACTTTTCCCACCACCACCCTGGGCTCACCGACTCACATGACCCTGGCAGTGCCACTCCGAGTCCCATAGTCTGGGGTTTCCAGGAAACAGCGTGTGGGGCCTGGGCCCCGTTTGCCAGTCGGGCGTTCTCACTCCAGACAAGTCTGCACAACCGCTCTGATTTGATTGATGGATCGATTGATACAAGGTCTTGTTCTGTCGCCTAGGCTGAGTGCCGTGGCACAGTCATGGCTCACGGCAGCCTCCACCTCCTGGGTTCTAGCGATCCTTCTGCCTCAGCCTCCCAGGTGGCTGAGGCTACAGGCATGCACCACCATGCCCAGCTAATTTTTTATTTTTATAGAAATGGGGCCTTGATATGTTGTCAGGCTGGCCTCAAACTCCTGGGCTTAAGTGACCTGCCTGCCTTGGCCTCCCAAAGTGCTGGGATCACAGGCCTGGCCTTGATAGTTTTCAGTTATGGTGTAGAGCAAGTTCCTGTCCTTCCTCCTGACAGGGCTGCCGAGTGGGACCCAGGTGTGGGGACTCCTCTGTGGCTTGGCCTGGGAGGCTTCAAGGTCCCCACAGCCAGGTTTTGTGCTTAGAGCCTTGAGCTGGGCTCGGGGCCCGGGCCCCCATTCCTGCTGGTCCCCAACCGGCACATCCCCACCCACGTGCCCATCCCCAGGGAGAGGGCATCCTGAGCCTGAGGGGCCACCTGCGGAGCCCAGCTCTTGGGGGTTGTGTGGGCAGCGGGCAGCGCATTCTCCGACCGCCTGTGTTCTCGAGTTCGGCACAGGTGTTGTCTCTCCTTCAGTTAGGGTGTGTATTCTTGGCTTTTAGATGGTAAAGATTTTAAGACAAATATAAACACTTTGCTTTTGCTTTAAAAACTCGCTTCCCCCTCAGTGTCCCTTGGCTCTTAGGCTGGCAGGTGGGCTCCACGTGTGCAGGGTCAGGCGAGCCGGGGGGATCCTGTGGGCAGTAGGGGTTGGGGTCAGGGGGCCAGGGACCCACATGCCTATCCCTAGCCCCACCCCCCGAGATCGGCCAGGCACCTCACGGCCCCTCCTGTCCCTGTCCCTGCAGACGCAGCCGGTGCCCAACCCTCTGGCATACTACCTACACCACTCACCCTGGTGGTTCCACCGCTTCGAGACACTCAGCACCCACTTCATCGAGCTCCTGGTGCCCTTCTTCCTCTTCCTCGGCCGGCGGGCCTGCATCATCCACGGGGCGCTGCAGATCCTGTTCCAGGTGAGCCCGCGCCGCCCACCGGCCCCCGTGTCCACAGACGCTGGTCCGTCGCCCTATTTCTGGCTGCCCTGCTGTCTGGGAGGCCCCTGGGGCATTACAGGCCCCCTTTCTTGGGGACAGCCTGTCCTCCCCAGCCATTGTTGGTGTCAGGGCCTCACCAGCTCCTTCTCATCCCCTGCAGGGGCCCCACCGCGGCCCTGTCCCGGGCTGGAGGCTGAGGGTCTCCTTCCCAGGCATCCTCCGAGGACTGGCTCCTCCCAAGAGCATTTCCTGCAGCTGCGAGAGGCCCGGCCGTGTCCTGGGCTCGGCAGCGGGACGGGGTCAGGCACGCCAAGGCCCTGTGTGGACACCCCCACATTCCTGGGATCCTCTCCTACGATTCTTCCATTCTAGAGGTTTCCTTTCCCGTGTTCGTGTCAGTCCACCAGGAACCAGGGTCTGCGAGAGGCGAGGGTCATTTGTCTCCATGTGGGTGAGGGACTGCCTCCCCTGCCCCCGGAACCCAGGCACCCCTGAACCCCCGTCCTGCCCACGCTCACTGCCATCCCTGCCCCACAAGCCCCCTGCATTGAGGACACCTCGAAGGGCAGGGCACTCCCACGCCACCTCCGGCCAGGCTGGGCCAGTCTCGGGCGTTTGCTTTTCCCTATAAACGCTACATTCCGATTGTCAATTCCCAGGGAAAATGTGGTGGGGATTTTAAAGGTGGTTCTGTGTCTCGATTGTTTCGATGGAGGTGTAACATACATCCAGGGCAATGCACAGGTCCTGGGGTGGCATTCCACGTGCTCTGGAAAACAGATGGACCTGGGTGCCCCACGCCCCTTCTCCCGCCCTGCCCCATGCCCCTTCTCCCGCCCTGCCCCATGCCCCTTCTCCCGCCCTGCCCCATGCCCCTGCCCCCACCCTGCCCGCCCTTCCGTTGCCCTGCCCACCCCTGCCAGAGCACCACAGCCTCTAGGGGCAAAGCTCCGTCAGCAGGCGCGGGTGCTACGTCACATTGGTGCACAGCCCACAGTTGTTGGCCGGGCCCCGTTTCATGGTGTGCGTCCTGTGGTCGGTCCGTCTGTCCTGTCTGTACTCGTGGTGGTTTCCGGTTTTCACCACAGCCTGCCGTGCACACACGCGATCTCGTCATCCCGTGGACGTGTTTTCAAGGGCACTGCTGTACCGTGAGCAGGCCTGTGATTCACTTTACAGGAAGCTGCACGTGTCCCAGGGTGGCTGTGCCGCTCTTGGCCCCTCCCCGCAGCAAGGACCCTGGCTGTGGTCGCAGGGGCCCTGAGCAGCTCCTGACGCCCTCGGTCTTTTCCACGTTAGCTGCTCGGAGGCAGGTGCTGGTACCCGTGGGGTGATTTCTCTGGCGGGCATCGATGTCACTATGAATCTAAGTGGGAAGAACAGACTTGCTCACAGATCGTCCCCTGTCTAGGACCACACATTTCTCTCTGCAGCTGCTCAGGGCTCCTGGAATAGTTTCAGTTGGTTCCGTGTAGCCGTACCCCACACATGTCTGCGGGCTCCTGGAATAGCCATATGCCACGCATGTTTGCAGGCTCCTGGAATAGCTTCAGTCGATTCCATGTGGCCGTACCCCTCACGTGTCTGCGGACTCCTGGAGTAGCGTCAGTCGATTCCGTGTGGCCGTGCCCCTCGCGCGTCTGCATGCTCCTGGGGTAGCATCAGTCAATTCCGTGTGGCCGTGCCCCTCGCGCGTCTGCATGCTCCTGGGGTAGCATCCAGTGAATTCCGTGTGGCCGTACGCCCTCCGCGGGTCTGCGGATGCTCCTGGAGTTAGCTCAGTGATTCACTGTGGTCCGTGGCCCCCTGCGCCGTTCTGCTGGCTTTCCTGGAGTAGCGCATCGGATTCCATTGGCCCGTGCTGCGCGCATGCCTGGACCCCAGTCATCCGGGTGGCCCATGTCCCCAGGGGCTAGCCCAGGGACTCTTTGTTGAATGTGCAAAATGGTGCCCTTTTAATTCAACAACTTCCTCTCTTGTTGCTAAGTGTGGTGGACCTCGTGTGTGGCCTTAGCCTTTCTCAGGCGACCTTCCTGCACTGGTGCTACCCTGTCTGTTGCCCGGTCCTCGCAGAGCGGTCCTGTGGGGCGATCTGGGGATTCTGCCCGGTTCTGCGTCCATCTCTTCTCCCTGCTAGGTGGGTTGAGTGCTTGTGTGGGTCTAGGGTCCCCACAGCAAGGGAGGGCCCCGCCTGTGCACTGCTGTTCACGATGCCAGCTGTGGTGTTGTTTTCGTGTGCACCTCTCCCATTTGGTTTTAGCCACGAATGGATGGCTGGAAAAAAAAAGTTGTGAAAGTGTTTCTCCATCAGTCCCGTGAGATGCTCGTTCTTCCATCCGTAACGTGGCAGGGTTACGGTTCACGCTGCAGAGTGCGCTGAAGCAAGTCACATTCCCAGCACAGCTGCCTCTTCCTCTCTGCGGGCCCGTCTGGAAAGAAAGGTGGCCGCTCCCTCACACCTGGGCAAGTGCTCCCCGGTGTGAGGCCGCCTGTGCCGCCGGGGTCTGACTGATCAACCCTTGTGGGCCACAGGACAGGCGGGCTTTCGACTCCTTCTTGAGGCAGTTTTGTGGTGAACGTTTTCCTGGGAAATTTGTTCATTTCCATCTGGTTTTCAAATTCTTGGCAAAAAAAAGTCATCATGTGTTATAGCCTCTCGAGTACCCAGGACTAACAGGTTGGCCACACACGCCCAGCCATCTTAAATTTGTTTTGCTAGAGACGGGGGGTCTCACTATGTGTACCAGTCTGTTTGAACTCCAGGCCGATGTTACTCCTTCCTTGCCTGATTCTCCTAAAGTGCCGTGACTGCAGGTGGCGGCGCGGCCCCTCAAGGCCCTGAGTGTCCTCACCGATGCAGCCTCCTGAGACAGCGGGAGCAAGGTTGCTTAGGGGCAGCCTGGCCCTCTGTCCTCCTGTTTAAGTAAAGGGCCATAACATCCTCAACTGACGTATTTGGACGTATTGCCACCATCTTTGTGTTTTCTCTTTGTTTCTTTATATCTCCGCCATTTTTCCTGTTATTTTCCCTCCATTTCCTCAGTGGTTATCAGCCGGGTTTAACTTACTGGAGGTCTCATTGGGCAGCATCTTTGCCACCATGACCCCTGAGGTCCTCAGCCGCCTCTGCCCCCTCCAAGCCCACCTGCGTCCGTTCCTCGGCGTTTCAGCTGTTTTATTAATTAAGAGACTTATTTTAGACAGTTTTAGCGGTTTTTCAGAAAAACTGTGCAGACTACAAGAGGCTCCCTTATCCCATCTCAGTTTCCCTGCGCTCAGCCCCTTGCAACTGGCCGGACATTGTATAATTGATAGGCAGGGACTGAAAAATTGTTGCAACTAGAGTCCCCAGTGACAGGAGAGTCATGTGCAGTGTTGTCCATTCTGTGAGCTCGGACAAACGGACGATGGACGACAATGCCGTGTCCCCATCGCAGCTTCACGCAGTCGCTCGTGGCCCTGGAAGTCCTCTGTGCCCCGCCGCCTGTGTCTCCACGGTGCTGCCTCTGCTGGACGTTGTGGAGTGGGAAGATCGTGCGGCCTCCCGGACTGGCTCCTTCCCTCTGCATCTGCACGGGGG